ATTATATTTTGTACATTTCTATTCTTGATCAGTTTATTTAGTTTCTTTTAATGTTAAAACACTTCATAATTTTGATTTGGTTAAATTTATTAACTAAATTATATATTTTAATTATATTTAAATCCTGAATATATTCAGATTATGCCTTCTAATGTTCAAGATTTAGCATGCATTACAATTTTATATAAATAAAGTTGGAAAAATTTAATTGATGATGAAAAGACAGTGTTAACTTTGAAAAAAAGTTAAGATAAGTTTGATAGGATATAGCAATGTAACAAGTGAGTGACCTGCCAAGTAGGGATGCATCCCATGACATGCTTCCTATGGGAAATTGGTCCTTATTTAGGTTAACTTAAAACTCAAGTTAACCTGGAAAACTCCACATGACCACTTGTTGATGAGGCACAAACCTGAAACCAATTAAGTAGTGTTATCCATTTGACCACTGGTCTGAGATGAATGGATAACACCACTTATGCTCAAGGCCTGAGAAATTCCTGGGGTTGCTCATCTGGATTTGATCTGAAATCCCCGAGCTATAGGCTGACAGCTTTACTACCTAGCCCATCTGATAGTCGCATTTTTTAGTTTATTCTTCTTGGATTCTGTTCTGTACTGCATGTTATTAGAAATCACAATCATAGTGAAATCAATTCCATGTTGTACAAGTCACTTAGATTTTACAAATACGTGTGCCGGGCTGTGAATGGCTCACATATTTGTAAAATCTAAGTGACTCGTACAACATGGAATTCATATAAAACGGAATAATCAACAGTGTTATGGGGGGGATCGACTGTATTTTGCATATCTATTTTGAATGCTTTTTGATATATATAGAATATATATTATTGTTAATACAAAATAGCAACCATAAATATTACAATGATTTCAAGTTATCAAACATTGGGACTGTTAGCACAGAAAAAAGCATAAAAAGATATATACCTAAAGATAAAAATACTTTAGGACCTCTTAATTTTGATAGCATTAACCAACTGATAACCTAATCCACAATTGCAATAAGTGGAGCCTACTGTATTACTTTTAATGTAATCACTGATATGAAATTTAATACATCAGAAAAAGAATAAATATTTTTAATTAATGAAAGAAATTAATTAAAATCTTACAATGCAACAATTAAAAATATTTAAATAATTTCTTACTTATCAAGCACATCTGATAAATTTGAAGGCAAAATAGATGTATTTTCAGAATTAGTACGATGGGGAGAATTATCACAGGATCTATTTGGTCTTACATGAGGAATAATATTGGTTGGTTGTGATGCTATAATAAATAAAAAAATTATTGTTATTAGAAAAAATGAAAGTTCTTATTAATTATAAAAAAATTGTTAATTCAAGATTATAACAAAGTAACATATTTTAGTTATTCTAATAAACTGAAGCTGTCAATAAATACAGTAGAACCTGTCTATGGCGAACACCCATGGTTCCTTCAAAAAGTGGTCTTTTAGACACGTGGTCATCCAATACAGGTGGTCCTGTAATAACATATTTTCATACGTATTTTGTGCACTTTTTAGCCATTTCTACTAAGCAAAACTTGAGGTGAGTAAAAATAAGTTAATTTTTTCGATAGTACTATATTGGTATTGTATTTTATTCTTATCAGATAACTCGATTTACAGGAGTCATTGTGATATTATAAAACAGATTTAATACCAATATTTTAAAGATTAATACAGTACTCGCATTTTCTCGATTATAATGCACAATTTCTTTTTTCTGACTTAATTAATTCAGCTCAGTTCTTTACGTTCGCTCCTCAGTTACATGTATTACATCATCAATATACAAGTGCGTCCTATCTCTCCAACATTTTGGTTTTGGTTTTCATTAGTTTAAGCTTATTTTCACTTTAAAAATACTGTATTTTTTTAATATTTTCTTAAGTACAATAAGAAAAATTATGTTGAACAGTCATCACAAAGGTCAGTTAGAGTTAGCCTGATGATAATCATTCAACACAGTTGAAAATGTTTGCTTTACTGTATTTTTTTAATATTTTCTTAATTAATTAAGTACAATAAGAAAAATTATTAATTAATAATAAAACGATTTTATTATTTTTTCTTATTACACAATTTCATTACAATCGCGGAATCAAAAAAGGAAGTAAAACTGACATTTTGCATTAATTAATGCGTTTATTGTTTTTTGAACATTTTGCCTGCGAAAATTACTTGGTATTATTTTTCTAAAAATATAGTGGAAATAAGGTAGGTTGATACAGAAACTATTTATCGCACGTGTACTGTATATGAGCTTCAAAATAAATAAATAAAAATAGATTTTATCAGATGATGAGATCAGCCAATTAATTTATCATGTACAATATTTTACACCCCCAAGGAAAATATTGTAGGTCTACGGTAAAATAAACTTCTTTTTCCACAGTTAAACTTCACCGCTAATTGCTGTTGTGATAAAATTATCAGAGAAAGTGAAAATGGTTTAACACGATGTTCTAACAATAGCACTTTGCATTTCTTTCGTTTTTCGGACATTTTCCAACAAACTGAAATGAATTTCCTTTGTTGCTAGACTAATTTATTAACACCTGCACCTAATTTCAAGGGTGGGAAAAGTGCCCGGGGTGGGTTTGAACAAGAGTTTAAACCAGGGGTGGCCAAAATGTGGCACATTGGACGATTACAAGTGGCGCTTCAGTTAGTTCTGAGCAAAATTGCCAGATTTGGCTTTTGCGATTAAGAATATTATATAAAAAAATTAATTTTTTACAGTCTCTCATGGCAAGTTCATTTATTGCACAATTCGTTACAGTCTATTTTGCAGATAAAATGAGTGTTCTCCACATTGTAAATTACAGTGAATGCACATATTTTGAGTCTTGTGATCTTTATTTCCGATCAGTTTACAGGCGTGTAAATGGCCGAAAACATTTATTGTGATTAAAGTTATTCCAAGCTGATCTTGTTCATCAGTGCCAATAATTGTGGTGCAGAGTAATCTTTACCAAATGAGACTCTGGCAGCAATAGCACCATCATGAAGCAATAGCCCTCTCGTACAGGAGATTATTATTGACTATTGTAAATTGGTGCTTCAATAAACTGTCATAAATTAATTAATTCAACTGCGTGATAAAGTTATTCCCTTTTCTCTCCTAAGCGAAGCAGATTTATTCTTATCTCTATTTATCAACTCCTAACATTGAACATAAGATTGTACAAAAAGTGTTAGAGTTATATGGCGCATCTGAACTTGTCTGTCAAAAAAATGGCGCATGATATGCAAAAGGTTGGCCACCCCTGGTTTAGACTAATTCATTATATTAGGAGGGGGAAACATTGTTGAGATGGGTTCGAACAATAGTTTAGACCAGATATATTCGCAGAAGTGGTCACTTATTACAGTTGTTGTATGTTGTTTTGGACCAAAAATCAATGCCCATGGTCGCGTTATACAGGTGGTCATTTAATACGAGTAACTTATACAAAGACACTATGTATAAACTATTACAGGCCAGAAATTTTTGCCCGTTTTGACAGGTCCCATCAAATGCAGGTGGTCGCCTAAGCAGTTTTCACTGTATACCTGTTTATTATCATCTATTTTTAATTAAGCCATCATCTTGCAATTGCTTTTAATAAAACTCAATTAACAATGTATCAAAAATATGAACATATTTAGTACTTTATTACATTAAACAACAACATAAATTTCAAAACAATACTAAATCTGTATAACTTAAAATTAAATATTCTAATGATTTTACAAATAAAACAGTATTAGATGCATGTTGATGTGTGCTTCTTGTCCTTAATTACTTATATTATACTTTATCAACTTTGGATGTTCTTGTGAACTAGGACTTGTTACACTGAGGGAAGAAAAATAGACAATTTCACACTAAAACATATTTAATGTAATATAATGCTGTATGCCACTACACTCCAGCAAGAACCTTCAAGAGGAATTAAAACTGTAGTAGAGTGAGACGGTGTCGGTTAGATAATTTCCCCTTTGAATAGTGCATTGGTAATTCATTTAACGAATAAGCACTGTTTAAGTGAATGAAAATGCATTGTAATAAACAGGGAAAACATTCAAGAAATTTTACAGGAAGAATTTTAAAAATAGTGGTTTAAAAGTCTATTCCGAAAATGTTGAAAAATTAACGGGTATATTAAAATATAAAATTGTAATGTCTGCTGAGGAGGTGCATTGACCCAAAATGCTGGATTGTAGTGGCATACAGAATTACATTATATTAAATATGTTTTAATTTGAAATTGTGTTTTTCTCTTCCCTCAGTGTAACAAGTTCCAGTTCACAAAAACATCCAAAGTCAACAAAAGTATAATATAATATTATTAGATGCATTTTATATACAAGGGATTTACAAGTTAGAAAATTTATTTCAAACTTAAATAAGATAACATGAAAAAAGAATCTTTTGTTATCAATAAGTTATTATTAAAGTTTTTATTAATGTTATGTTTTTTGTTTCAGAGAATAATTAAAAAATTATAAGAATTAAAAATTAGAATTTTCCAAAAATGACTACTCCACAAGAAAGAGCACAATGCATTTTCTGGTTTATCAAAACAATATACAGTTTAACCTGCTTATAACGTCATCCATGGGACCGGCAGTTTTTTGACGTTATAACCGAGTGTCGTTATCTGCGGGGTCATAATTTCAGTCCCACAAAAGTATCAAGTCTGTTTAAGAATCTATTATAAAATTCATCTAATTTAATATCGTATGTATAAAAGTGCAAACTAAATATTTAAATCAACTTTATTTACATTATTATGTCTAAATTTACAACGATGTAATTAAAAATTTCAAAAATTATTTTTTATAAGAAATTTTTATTTGTCAAGTTTCGATAATGGCGGCACTTTCGGTTTTGAGAATAATATCGAATCAAAAGGCAACAAAAAGTTAAATTAAGCAAGAAATGAGAAAATTATCATCCAGGTGTTATTAACGCCTGGATGATAATTTTCTCGTTTCTTGCTTATCTATCAATGGACATGAAGTCCAATATCTTTCACTTTTAGGTTAAATTAATGTATATCAATTAAAAAGAAACAATAAAAATATTCACTTAAAAAAAGTCAGTTATTTTAGATTGTAGGCATTTTTCACCTAAAAATTGTTTATCAATGTCATTTTCTAAGTCATAGATTTTGTTCATTATTTCCGATGAAGTTTTACGAGACCTGTAAAACATTTTCAATAATTTTATCGCATTACTCGCTTCCTTAGTTGACGGCACTGTAGTTTCTCTGTTTGATATTTCATCTTCTTCATTATCATCATTATCATCATCATCATCATCCACATTTTTTTCGTCTGAACATTTAATTTGCTCAATAATATCTGCATCTGTATAAAATTGAGATGTTATTAAATTTTCATCTACACACTCATATTCAGTAGCAGCAGTTAACAAAAATTCGCCGTTTTCTGAACTCTGAAGTGTTTTAATTAATTCCGATAAAGGAATGTCATCGTCCTCATTGTCATCTTTCGTAAATGTAATAGCTGTTTGACTATTACACAATTTTGCATGGTGAAAACAGTTTGCTATTATTAGCGAACTAACCTTACACCAAGATTTTTCCAAAAAATCAACTGCATCTAATAAAGAAATTGCCATTTTATTTTTATCTTCCATATTTGTTATAATTTTTTGTAAAAGAATTTTTCTGAAGTGAGATTTAAGGCTTCTTATAATTCCTTGATCCATTGGTTGAAGTACGCTAGTACAATTCGGAGGAAGGAATACAAGTTTGATGTTCTTTAAATTTTCTAAAATTGGATGTGCTGGGCAATTATCGACAAGGAGTAAAACTTTTTTTCGTTTACCAATAAGTTCTTTATCCCATTTTCGAATTTCTTCTTCAAAAATCTCAGACGTCATCCATGACTTTTTGTTCGCTTTGTAATTTACTGGTAGTGTTTTTATGTTTTTAAAACATCTTGGATTCTTTGATTTTCCTATTACAAGAAGTTTTCTTTTGTCTGTACCAGTCATATTAGCGCAAACAAAAGCTGTTATCCTATCTTTCGCAAGTTTTCCACCAACACACTTTTCGTTTTTAAATTTAAATGTTTTATCCGGTAAAAGTTTGTAAAATATCCCGGTTTCATCTGCATTATAAATGTCTTCATCTGCATATTCTCCCCTTAGTTTAGGCCACACATCTCTTAACCAGTTTTCAACGTCCAGTAAATTTACACTTTTTGCTTCTCCACACACTTTCCCAAAACTTATGTTATGTCTTTGTTTAAAACGGTCTAGCCATCCATTAGAACATTTAAAGTTAGTATCGCCTAGTAGTCGTCCAAATTCTTCTGCTTTTTCCATTAGTATCGGTCCATTTAGTGGTAAGTTGGAACTTCTGCATTGGTTAAACCACTTAATTAGAGCGTCATCAATATTGGCTTTTTCACATAACTTAATTTTTTTCACTTGTCCCTTGCCATCTTGAAAACTTTTCAAAATTTTCTCTCTGTTTTTTATTATTGTGCATACTGTAGAATTTGCTAAACCAAAGTCTCTGCATACATCTGCCTTTTTTCTTCCACTTTCAACTGCTTTAATTATTTCTACTTTGCAGTCTAATGTTAACGCTTTCCTTTTTAAGCTAGCCATTTTATCTGATTTGATGCTAAACTACAACACGATTATGAGAGCTATGCAGACTAACCCACTGTCACGTCGTTTAAAGGAGTGGCGCATCTTACCCCACCGAATCAGGTGGTGACAGTACCACCCACAATCGTTCTAGGAAGCGAACTCTGACCCCAGGACTGAACACGTAGTATTTTCTTTGATAAATAAAATTTATAATTTAATTTTGTAAATTTGAGAGTGCTTCAAATATGACGTTAAAACAGGGTTTTATGTCGTTACAAGTGGGTTTTTTAACATTATCTAGTATAGTAAAATCGTGGAACCGATAAAAATTTGACGTTATATTAGGGTTGTCGTTACATCCGATGTCGTTATAATCGGGTTAAACTGTATTTAAATACAGAGAAATTACAAAACTAAATGTGAAAACAATCCTCCAGCAAGTTAGTCAATATGCAATTGGCATTCATTATTTCTTATATTTGTAATTCATTAAAAAAATTCAAAATGGTAATGTGTTACACAATGATTTGTTTCTGTTACCTTTTGTCATTTAACTTCAATGTGTGACAAGTCATTCATATTAAAATGTAATTAAATAAAATCTGTTGTACCTATCAGCTGTATAATAAATAATATAAAAATTATTGTTCTTACAATTTTCATCCACATTATCTTAGACCAGTGTTTTTCAACCTTCTTGAATACGCGACCCCTTTACAAGTTAAAAAATTCTGGTGACCCCCCCAAAGGGCCATATTAAGACTATATCAGTGATTTTAAAAACTATGTATTTAATTTTCTTTCTGTTGAGACAAATTATTGTTGATTAAAATGAAAATTTCAGAAGAATCGACAATAACTTAACACACAAAGTATGAAACTTCCTTTAATGAAGTGTAGGACCTACAAACACTTGTCTTTCTCTTTAACCCGCGACCTCCCGTGTAAGGCTTCGCAACCTCCCTGGGGGTCGTGACCCACAGGTTGAAAAACACTGCCTTAGACAATCAGGATTCTACAATAATTTAAACAGTAAGAGAGAGACATTTCATACTTTTGTTTTGCCAGACTAACTTTTTGTCTGATGGAATACTAATAAAATGTACAAAGATTGCTAACTTTACACTTAAAATTATTTTACTCTAATACAGGGTGAGCCAATGAAAACGAAATAGCAGAGTTATCGCGTTCATTGAAGCAAATTGCTTGGACAGGTCGATTTTATTCTCAAGGGGGGACATCTGCAATAAAGTTTTTGCAATTCTGAATACAACAGACAAGAAAAAATTTTAAAAACTCATTCATATTTTTTTATTAACTAAACAAACATTTATTTTGGAAAAAAAGTAACACAAACTATTAACAAAACCTTTTAAGCTGGACTGCATATGCAAGGAAAAAATAATCATAAAATTAAGGCTAATAATGTGTTATCTGTTTCCAGATGTTCTTTTTTGTAGTGTTCACATTAAGCTTGACCACTTAATCTTAAATTCTGATTGAATCATTATTATTTTATTATGAATTTTGTACAACATAATTGTTATGGTTTACACAATTGCTGAAAGGGTAGAAATAGTAACTCTTCATTTCAGAAATCGTGAGAATGCGTATCTTACTTCAAATTTATTTAATCAATGCTATCCAAAGAAATATTGTAACACAAAATATGTTCTGGAGTTGGTTCAAAAGTTTCAGTTAATGAGTTCTGTGCTAACAAAAGACACGACCCCGGACATGAATGTCCAGTAAGAAATGAATCGACAGAGATGTGGTTCTCAATTCAAACATTTATTGAATACTTGATAACTTTTTCTTACGTTTATTACTTTATTTGAAATAAATGTTTGTTTAGTTAATAAAAAATGAATGAGTTTTTAAAATTTTTTGTTGTCTGTTGTATTAAGAATCGCAAAAACTTTATTGCTGAAGATGTCTCCCTTGAGAATAAAATCAACTTGTCCATGCGATTTGCTTGGATGAACACGATAACTCTGCTGTTTCGTTTTCATTGGCCCACCCTGTATAATAAAAATCCTGTATAATTCTAACTTTCCAGTTTAAACAGGTAGACCAGACCAAGAAAATGCTCATTGCTTCAAACTGTGTACATATTTTTTAAAATCAAATTTTAATCTAGAGATAGTTTTGTATTTTCTATATTTATTGAAATGACCTAAAAGCAAAATGCTCAAATATTTATATATGTTACATATTCTCAACTAAAAAAGAAAAGAGTGCATGTGATATTAATCAGTTGGTGCAGTAATGATTTGAAAATAAAATGTAAATAACTAAATATAACTATAAATATCTCTTTTTACCTCACACCTTTTGATAGAAAAGGTTTCAGCATGTAAAAAAAGAAACTCACTTGATTCTCTGTTTAATTTTGGTAAGAATTTCAAAAAATTTTTTCCTGTTCACTTATATGTTATATTTTATGCATTTTGTTGAATGAAGTCCAATTTAGTTTTAAACAAAGGGAAGATTTTCCTGATTTTCTGATACATGTTTGAAAAGAACATATTACTGAAAGTGTAAAATATTTTTACTGTTGATTATGACTTAAATGCAGAGGAATCTTGAGAAAATTGTATTCAAATTCAAACAAGTGTATGGCTTGTAATGGCTACATCTAACAGCCTACATTGTTATTGAGAAAACACTAAGATATATATATAATAAAGACAACACCAGATCAGTTAAAATCCCAACAGACTTTTTAAACATATGAAAACATTCATATAAATGAACAGACAATCAAGTAAACTCATAGAATGCAGAACCAAACCAAACTTATTAAATAGAACATACTTAATTCAAATCAAAAAATATTGTAGAATAGAATTCAATTCAAAAAATTTCCAGTAGCAGAAGCTCTACACATTTATGACCTTACTCTAAAGGTGAAACAGGAGAGCTACTTCCAGGTCTATTTCATTGATATATTAATTGTCATGATAAAAGGACATCTTACTAGAAAGGACTAGTGAGGAAATTTATTATCCATTCTATATACCTAAATAGTTACACAATCCTTACAAATAAAGATAGCTACTTTTCATTCTCTGGACATAGAAGAGCCTTTGCCCACTGTACATCCCACAAGAAAGGGATGCAGAGTTGAATCATAAATCCGTAGTCATACAGTATGGTTATTTGGCCACCCTTGTTTGGACAGTAATTCATCATCATTGACAATCTGGAAATGAACCAAAATAATGAGATGATGACTTGACTGCCTTTACATATAACAAGGAGTTGAATGATATATACAGAGAAATTATCAAGGCAAATAACATGAAAATATAGAAGCCCATCAATTTTCTCATTACTTAGGAACGATAAGGATCAAACGGAGGAAAGGTACTCATTGGAAGATTATACCATACCACTGACAGACTAAATTATAAATTAATGTGTATTTTTTTTATAATTTCTCATATCCTCAAACAAAATATGAATAGTACATGTCTGGAGCTTCTGCTACAGGAAATTTTTAAATTGAATTCTATTTTAAAATGTTTTTATTTGAATTATGTTCTATTTAATGAGTTTGGTTCAGTTCTGCATTCAATGTGGTTTACCTGATCATGTCCAAATATACATAATCAGGTAAACTACATTGGATTTCAAACAGATGAAAATGTTTATGACTTGAAATAAAATCAGACTTTACTCATATTAAAGTCTGTTGGGATTTTAATCGATCCTGGTGTTTGTGAGTATCTTTATTATTTACTCTCTATTCTATTTCAGTTATTTTGAATTTTCTATTCTATTCTTCTATCCAGGTTCATATGGAGATGCTAGCCTTGTTGGATCTTTCTCCAAAATATGCCACCTGATGGTTAGATGAAGCAGCCTGTGCTTTGAGAATATGAACGCATGTGTCTGATTAGCTGGCCTTATGGATGGAATGGCCATATGCATGTGGGGAAATAATGCCTTCTGGGAGGTCTTTTAAGGGAAACTGGCCCCTATTCAGACAATACACATGTGGAGAAAACCCAGAAAACTCCATGTGACCAGCCCATCTGAGTGAGGTGCAAATCCACAACCAAACTCCCAGTGTTCAGGGACAAAGACTGCTTGGCCATTGATGGGCCAATCTATTTTGAATTTTGGTGGTTGAGTTATGTTTTAAACTCAACTGTTATCTCCATACTTTCAACATAGTACTTCATTTGCATAGTCTCAAACTAACATTTGCATAATGAATGAAATTGTATCCCATTAATTTAGGGTTACTTTTAAACCTAAATATTTTAATCTAATAAATATTTATTATTATTATTATACTATATTATTATAATCAGATATTAGTAGAAACACTAGTTAGAAAATACTTTGTTTGTAAGCAATTTGCTTCAATATGCAAATTAACACTGCATAAAAGAATAGTGTCAAAATGATACAGAAAGCTGTGACCAGACCCTAAAGACTGGGAGGTTCGTCGTGGGTTCGCGCCACGGTCGGACAGGCTGGCTGCTTGGAGTTTTCCGGGTTTTCTCCTTGCCTATAACGACTGAATAGGAGGCCAGTTCCCCATAAAAGTCCTCCCGGAAGGCATTTATTTCCCGCGCGTACGTATGGCTGTTCGATACAGCCGGCTAATCGGTCGCCTAGCGATCATACACATACACAAGTCTACTCGGAGAAAGAGCCTACATTGAGCTAAAATCTCCATATAAACACCATCGAAGAAGAAGAAGAAGATACAGAAAGCTAGACTTCACCATTGCTGGTTAGTGGATAACTGAAATTGCAAGCTATTGATAATTGTAAGTGATTGATTGAACTGATGTTTAAGAGTTTTCCTTTTGCTGTGTTTTTCTCCCCAGTCTGACTAATATTTTGAATAATTGTAATTCTGTAAATATAATAATAATATGCTTATATTATAAATTTAATGTTGAGTACTAATAAGCTTTATTCTAACTATTTTTGCTGAAATTATATATATATAATAACAATATATATATATAGTTTTTTTTTGTAATCAGAAAGTCCAGTGCTAGCATTTTTTTAAAATCTATCCATGAATTCTGTATACAAGGATAATTTTTCTTTTTGACAATTTGGACCTTGTAGGAAGGTAGTGGTATTAGCAGTCCCCACAATAGAAACTTGACTAGCAAATTTGTCTACATGTGAAAAATACCCCATACTTCTTGCTGTCACATATAGGAACCACAATGTTTAAATAATTAATTAATCTTGAAATGTGTGTTAAATCTGATTTTAAAAGTTCATGAGTTAGTCTGTTTCACTTAATAATATAATTTGACCCCAAAATCCTAATATCAAAACAATTAACTGTACAGTAGAACATCAATTATCCAAATACTAATCAACCGAAAGCATTCCAGTCAGCAAATTCAAATTTCTGGTAATGCTGTGGTGTTGCAGCACACTCCCCCTCCCTGTCAACCTAAACTGTAGGCCTAGTTTAATGAACTACATTATGTAAGGTATATATTTGTAAGATGTGTGATACAAATTATGTACAGTTGTGTGTTTTAATATAATTTTTCTTAATCAGTTATCCAAACTACTCCAGTTCTGAAATTGTTTCAGATAAATTAACTATGGTAGAGCATCATTTAAATGTTATTAGGCTTAAAGTATGTAAATGTCTTTTGATATAAATTTTCAATTAGATTTTAGAATATTTTCTAAAAAGGATTTTCAAGAATTTAAATTGTGAGATGACTTCTATTTATCCATTTAACTTTGTTCTCTT